GACCCGATGGCTCCTGCATCGCCTCCTGAGGTTCCGGTTCCCAAGGTTCCTGCTCTTGCCCCCGAGGTTCCTGCTTCGCCCCCAGTGGTTCCTGCACCGCACATTCCAGCTCTGCCCCCAGTGGTTCCTGTCCCAGTGGCTCCAGCTCAGTCCCCAGGGGTTCCCGACCCTCCGGCTCTGCCCCCAGGGGTATTTGATCCTCCTGCTCTGCCCCCAGTGGTTCCTGACCCTCTGGCTCCGTTCCCCCCGGCCCCTGACCCGGCTCCCATGGCCCCAGATCTTGTCCCAGAGAAGGTCCATGACCGCCTGACCACCGCTCCTCCCTGCTTAGTGGAATTGGAGGAGGAACTTGAGTGGGACCCCTCACTCCGACCACAACCACTGGGTGGCAAATCCCAGCCAGGACCCCGGCTCTCTGTGTCCCATAAGGGGAGGGACCATCTACGCAGAGGTCTGGTCCTGCCCGCCCTACCCCCTGGCTCACCTTTGCTTTCTCCAGCTTTGGCTCAGCTCTGACTCCAGCTTGGCGGTTGCCTGTGGTGCCCCTGGCTCCTATTCGGCAGTCGCCTGTGGGTCCCCCTGCTCCGACTCGTCGATCACCAGCTCCTTGGCTGGCTGTGGCTATACCTTCGCCTGCCTGCTTTCTCCGGTGTCCCCTCCATCTTCCTCCTCGCTCCCTCCGTCTGTCCCTCTGCCTTCCTCCTCGCCCCCTTTGGCATCCTCTCCGGCTCTGGCCTTCCGGTCGTCAAGGATACCTCCTGCTCCACCCTCTCGGTCACCCATCACCCCTGTGACTTCTGTATTTCACCAGCCGGGGTTCCCTCTGGCTACCTGTTCCCCCCCGCCCTTTGCCTCCTCCCTTTGTGCCCCCTGTGTTTGCTCCTTGTCCCTCTGTTTTGCCTGTGTTCACGCCTGGTCCCTTTGTTCCTCCAGTTGGTGTTCCCCCTGTGTCTCTGTTTTTGGTGCCCTTATCTCTGTAGGCATTCCCCGTGGTTTGTCAGTTGTTGTCCGGGTTATTGTCCTTGTGCCTATTTTGTGTGTCAGTCTTGTTCCCGGTGCCCCGTTGATGTTCTTGTTTTTTGTTTTCCCTGGTCCCATGGAGTCCTTGGTCTCATCCTGTGTGTGCCTTAGGGGGGGGGTTCTGTCACACCCTGCTCGTCCAATCCTCCTGTGTGCCATGCCCCCCTCGTTAACCTCGTGTGGATTCCCCGTGTTTACCAACTGTTTCAAGTTGTTTCTATTTGTACGGTGTATTTAAGTCCGCATCTAAGTTTATTTCCCTAGTCCTGTCATTGTATTGTTATGATGATCCTGTCCCATTTACATCTCAATGTGTCCATTAAAACCCTTATTCCCCAAGCCTTCATTGTCCTCGCCTGCTTCCCCGGTCCGTGCCCTGCATGGTTATAACAATTTTACTAGATCATAAGTTTGAAATATTTCGATAACACTTTCTATTAATGCCGTGTCTATAAGAATCTATGAACATATTCATAACACATCATTATGCATTCTTAAAGCATTATAAATATAGCTATAAAATCTCATAACACATTATAGCTATATTTATTATGAATTCTTTATGAAGCTCTATGTTGCACTACAGATACCTTCATAATGCAGTACAAAGCATCCTTAATTCTTATATTTGATAATGGTAATGCATTAAGAAGGTATCTATAGTATATTAAAAAATGAAAGCTTTGTTAGAACTTATCAATTATTATAATCAACACTCTAATACCTCATGACTGTAAATAGAAGATATTATAATGCTTTATTAATTCTACTACCCACCATTATAATGCTTCATAAAGGAGAGCTTCACTGGAGCTTATCAAGTTTTATATTCAACACTATAATGACTGTCAATAGAAGATGCTGTAGCGACTATTATAACGCATTATTAAGGTATCTATAATGCATTAGAGATGTAAGTAACGTTAAGTAAAGTGTTACCAACATTTCAATTACAGTAAGTCTGTCACGACAGGGAAAGAAGCAACTCGAGAGCTGGCGTAACGTGAATGAACAGGGGCTTTATTGGACAATACAGAAATGGTCAAGGGAGAAACAAAATAGGACCGCGAGGGGTCCAAACGGGAGAACATGAAACCATGAGGGGAAAAACCCAGGGTCAGACGGAAACTAGCACCGGGACGGGCATAGGCAACAGGAGGAACGACGTCAATGACAGCTGGACAACTAGAGCTGACGACACAGGCACAAAACTAACAAGCCACAACAGACAACAATCAGGGCCACATCGGGGGGGGGACAGAAGGGTCAGGCAGACATGACGGACAAGACGTGACAAAGTTCTGCTACAAAGCAACTAGATTTACGCCAAATGAAATAAATTAAATAATAAATTTGAGATACCAGTGCACAACAATGTAATTATATGTATTTAAATAACAAATAATAATAACACATTAATACATTATATCACAAACATCTCCAATGGGTCTTACACGAGTCTCCCGAGAATTGCCCATTAACCGCTTCAAAAGAACGTACCAAACTAGCTAACTTGCGAGTCGAGTGCCCGCAGTCTACGAAAAACAAGTGTACGTGAATTAAAAACGTTGCTGTGTTTTATTTGATCATTTGTCAGTTTTAGATTTTTCTGTGCAATGCATTGAGTGGCGTAATACAAAAAGTTCGATTCTTATAAGCATAGACCTAAAACATAAATCTGAAAACCAGTTCAACCGATTCAGAGCCAGTGCAAAGGAACGATTCGTTCATATGCATATGGTTAGCTGTATTTGCAAGTCGTGTTTCTTGCTAAGACCGCATCGCGCTGTCGTTCACTAATTAGTGGTTTTCTTTCCGACTGAAAATTGCGCAAATATAAATAAGATGCCACATTGTATTGGATTTGGATACTAATAAATAATACATCAGTCTCGTTACAACATGATATCACGTCTTGTAGCAGGACTGACTGTATTGTATTTTTGTAGCCCTTAATAAGTTTCCTTTAAAATCCTATGTATGTTGTTTTATGCATTTAATACATCCTGAAAAGGGGTCCATAGACTCACATAGACTTCTGCATGGGCAGAGGGTAGGAACCTCTGTTTCAGGCACAAAAGAAAGCACATCACACCAATAGTGAGGGAGTATCACGGTTCAAGAGTCTATAATGCGGACCATAGAACAAACAGCCTGTGTTGCCTGGAATTGCCCCCCCCCCAATAAGAGGGTGATAGATGTGTATATGAAAATCAAAATTAGCCTCATTTAAAAAAGTGCAATAACTCTACTAAATGCTCATCTTAACACACTAGAAATTGCCCATCAATCTTGAGTAATGTGAATGCAATGTAACTTCAAAAAGGCATGGATTGGATAGTGCTGGCCTCATCAGGAAGACTTCCCCCTATGTTTCATGCGTGACTATTGCATCCCTCAATATGATTCACAGGACAGCCAGTTTATGTTTGCTGACTTTGTAATACTGGTTGACAAATCCACCTCTCTAACATAACAGCTATTCTGAATGAATCATGTCAATATTACACTTTATGTCAGTAATATTTCTATTTGATATTAAATTTAAATATGTCGCTTTACCCACACAGATGAATTCACACACAACCCAAGCTGAGAAGACTGAAAGCTCCGTTTTCCTGTTCCAGATTTGGTGCATGATTGCATCCCTTCTCTCAGTTGTTGATCTGCTCTTCCTGGTAGGTGGAGGTGGAGATGGCGCTGTACGGGTCTACTACCATGCGGGCGCAGCGAACCACAGTCACCAGCAGGAAGAAACAGAGCAAGAAGATGAAGAACAGAGCAAAGCCGAGATCGACGTCCACCTCCAGCTTGAAAGAGGGAGCAGTCTGGTCCATTTCCCTGTTGGTGGTGGGGCAGGTTTGTCTGCTGTTTGTCTTCCAGCACAGTTACTCTGCTGTTCGGATGCGTGACCCTCTGGCAGCTCGACACCACTGTGCTCCTTAGCCTGGATCCTGTGGGGGGAGTTATGGTAAAACACCAGCAGTTGCCTCAGACTGTAAGAGGATGCATTTAGGTGCGTGCGTGTGAACACGTGTGAGAACGTACAGCCTGGGAAAGCCACCTGAACATGGACAAGGCCAGTAAACATCCCCTTCATTCATCAGACTGAGAAAGGATGCAAAACACCCTGTTTGTCTGACTTTGTGTACAGCTGCATGCAAGAGGACTCTTCTGTATATATAAACAACTTACCTCCAATATCCCTCAGTCCTCGTCTAAATGTTCAACCAAGTGACCAGTGGAGTTTCCTTAGGGACTCAATGCCTTTGCTCCATAATTACAGCTGTTTCCTGTTATCTGTCCAGCTCTGCTCCTCCTCATCGTTATGCCAGCGGCATTCGAGTCCTCCCCGTTCTCCCGAGGACGCCCCCGCCCCCAGGTCCTGTGCTCTACATGAATAGTTAAAATAGACAGGAGTCTGGTGGCTGTTTGGCTCCAATCCGCCTTTTCCAGTCCAGTGGCCTCCACAATATGTACATGCGGGGCACCCTGAGGGCGGTCAGGTATCATCAGCGATTAGCAAGTAGAAACAACATTTGTTATATTATTGGCTTGTTTAACCTCCAGGGAACCAAACATCCTTGCCTGGGTCTGGTCCCGAGGATGCGTGGGTGCACGCTGAATGGGAGGCAGTTTGGGGCAGGGTGTATGTGGACCCCAAACACCACGCTGCCCTGGAATCAGGCATTTGTAAATGAACAGGACATCATGTTTCGGAAAAGGTAAAGCGATATCACACCATTAGGAGAGATTACTCCTCATGCAGGGAGCAGAAGCTGATACCATGTGAGCGAGATGGAGAGGCCAGCTGTGCTCTGCTGCCAAGGGGGGGGGGGGGGGGCAACGTGACACCATGTGGGGCATTGTTGGCCTCTCTCCTCCTCGCAATGATGTGCAAAAGTGCTTTTAAGTTTTAGGGAAATACCCAGTCAGTGCAGCAAATCCCAGCACAAGAGCCATTCAAAAAGAGCACACAGTGTTTCTTGACAATTTAATAAAAAATGTTTTTTTCCCCCCCACAATTAATGTGTACATATATTCATAATTGAGTATCTATGCATTATATAAACTGCAATTCACATCAGTTAAAATGTGGACATCAGACAAGTGGTTTAAAACATGAGAAGTCGCTGAAACACCGCCCTCTTCCAGAAACTAAAGAAAACCACACGTCAACTTAGACTGTATTATACACACACACACACACACACGTGTAAATATGAGATCTCACATTTGTATATACACATACAATTTCAGATAGAAGAAAATATATATCATTTACAATAATTTCCAGGACTTTTGAGAGCCACTCCCAAGAAGCACAAAATTCACACCCCAGAACTAGAGCAAGAGTCACTGCTGCTGTTCTGGTCCAGTCTGGTGCTGGTGGCGGGGAAACTGGGCTGTGCCGGCTCCCCGCCGCAGATAGTCTCTGCAGGTCCACTGTAGGTGAATGGCGGGAGGGTGCGCGGGACTCGATTACAGACCGGAACCAGAAACAGTCATCAGATCTCACATTTGTATATACACATACAATTTCAGATAGAAGAAAATATATATCATTTACAATAATTTCCAGGACTTTTGAGAGCCACTCCCAAGAAGCACAAAATTCACACCCCAGAACTAGAGCAAGAGTCACTGCTGCTGTTCTGGTCCAGTCTGGTGCTGGTGGCGGGGAAACTGGGCTGTGCCGGCTCCCCGCCGCAGATAGTCTCTGCAGGTCCACTGTAGGTGAATGGCGGGAGGGTGCGCGGGACTCGATTACAGACCGGAACCAGAAACAGTCATCAGCGTATATCGTAAAATTCTTGTCTTTTAGTATCAAAATAATCATAATAAAATATACATTGTAACAACATGAATGGCTTTAAGATATTCCTGCTGATAATTATTGCTTGATCTTTTATCCCCCTAAAATTATCACAAAAACAGATTTTAAATGCTTTTAAAAGATTAAAAAAGGCCATACACAGGAGTGAGGAAACTGCACTGGTACCATGGAGAAAGTTTGACAAGAAGCATTAAAACAGATGCATAAGTGTGCAGGGACACACATGTCTTAAGAGTTGCACATCTAGACATTTCATGTATTAGCCAAGCGAACGGGTAGTTAAATTTCACACCCAGACACCCAGGCTACATTTCATCACTGAAAATACTGCTGACTGAAACAACCATAAAAAGACATTGACAAGATTCAGTGGATCCACAATTCAAATGCTCTTTGGAACAATACAGCGCATTTCTGTGCTAACATGCAAAAAAAAATGGGTCGAAGGAAGGATCGGGGGCTTTGCAGTGCCCCAGTACGGCTCGCGGGCAACTGGGGTCCATGCCTCAATAGGTGTGGGTTCTGTAAAGCCCTGTGATGCAGACATGATGCCGTTGCGGTCTGTAAGACATCAAGCACTGAGCTCAGCCCTGCAGTTCACATTCCTATGGGAGGCTAGTTGGCAGTGATGTCATCACCTACAAGCATCATCTGTAGTGTGAGGAGAACTGAACTAGAAACCACTGGTTTTTCACATTCATCTGGTTAGATTCTTAGCCTGACAACCGAAAATGGCATCAAATCTCTTCTCAAGCTCAACATGCTTTCCCTGTGACCCTTGGGTTGCATCTATGAACACATAGACCCAATAAGCAAACGATATATGAAACTGATAAATGTTCTCACGCTGGCATAACACAGTATTTCTCCACGTATGTTGTGCAGGGTGTTGCGAGTGAGTAGTGCCATGGTGACACCATCTGCTGCCGTCTCCGTGAGAAGCCCAGTCTTTACATAAAGGCTAAGTCCGCATGGCGTCAGAACAACCCGACTGGCCGCTCAGTGTTGGGCGTTTTCAGCTGTGTGCGTAGATACTGCAATAAATTCCCTCTCCTCTCGTTAACCCTGCTCATTTTGTCCACCATTCGACTCCACCCACCCCCAAATTCCTCCATCTCTCTAACTCTGTAAAATCCGTTGTTGCCATTGACACATTCTCTGCTACCTGCTCCATGATAAATGGTGAAACACTGAGGTCAACAAAAAGACACAATACAGACTTGGGGCGGGGATAGATGGCGACGACTTAAAAGCACAATGATACATTTGCACTATGTGCAGTCATGAAAAGGCGGGAAGATGGGCAGCTCGCTGAAGTCCTCGTTGTTGAAGGCTGGTGGCTGATCGAGCATGGATAGCACATCCTGTGAAGCGGAAGACAGCAGACTGTTACGCGCAACCTCTCTCTACACACACACAGACTCAAAGTCACATGCAACATGAGGACCTACAGGGAAAATCTCAGGCTGCCCAGCCTGGGGGTGTGTCTCTGATGTGCCTTGTGCATGCGACTGGCTCTGCCATTGTGGCCACACTGCCTCCGCTGCTCTGGAGGGGAACTGCATCGTCGACTGACTTCCGTCTGCTGGGAATGGGGAGAAGTGGCAGTTGGACATTGGTACTTAAATATGTCCCCAATGTCCTCTAGATGTCCTCTGCCCTTTGGACAACATGTCAGTTTAACAGACCAGACTTATTCAGATTCCATTTAATCTAATTCAGCTGATCAAGGACAATAACTGTGTCTTACATAATATGTGGTTTACATTGACTTTTACCCAAAACTGCTCATCCAGTACAGCAGTGGCATTCAAACTTTTGATAGCCCCCCCCTAGGGTTGTTTACGACACATTTGTTCTTACACTCCTCCACCCCTAACACATACACACACACATACGTGTTTGTATTCACATCTTTGTAGGGACCTTCCATTAATTTCTATGGGCATAACCCTAATCCCAACAACGACAACCGTAACCCCTAACCATACAGTATGTAACCAAACAAGACTTCTGTCATTTTTAATTTTTTTGATTGCAGTCACACATCTTTTTTTTTTTTTTTTTTTAAATTGAGTTTCCTGTGGGGACCAAGAAAATGGTCCCCACATCATCAAAATAGCAGGTTGTTATCACATTGTGGGAACATTTGGTCCCCATGATGTAATACATACATAAGCCGTCAGGCTGTGACTCACCGAAGCTGTTGCCTGGGGTGCTGCTGCAGGAGCTGAGGGAGGGGTAGCTGGTGTTGCTGGATGGGGTTGAGGCCGCAGTACTGGGCACTGCATTAAAAGTGGACGATGCAGCTGTGGCAAACCCCCCTAGTGCAAACTGGGGTGACTGGATCTTGGACTGTGCCACCTAGAGATCACAGTTAAAAGTTCAATGACACACTCCATGCTTGCCAGCAGGATTTTCACTGTGATTGACCTTACGGAGGGAGCTCTGACCAGCACTGACCTGCGGATTAAACGAGGACCTGCTTCCTGCCCAGGTCTGGCCTGCTGCCGCTGCCCCAGCCTGAGCCTGAATGGGGCTGTTATTATTGGGGGGAACTACAGAGGGGCAAGTGGGATTGGGGGCATTTTGCCGAGAGATTTGAGCCAGCATTTGCCCGGCGGAGGGTGACGGTGGGACCAAATGTTCAGCCATTCCCACCGGCCTGGAACAAGACGAGGCATTTTCACTACAAAACCTTTCACATTCTAACACTCTCCCAAGAGTTCCCTTTTCTGAAGGTGCGGGTTGTTAAAAGGGCCCTCGTCCCGGGATGCTGCTTGCCTGAAGGAGTCAGTGGAGCGGGCTGTGCTGTATGAACTGCCCTGGGGGTAGATCTGTGTTGATGGGCTGGATGTGAGGACCTTGGGCTGATCTGTGGGACGGAGGGAGAGGTTGCATGCATCAGCATTCCTCCGCATGGGCTCCTAAGGAGGTCTCCTTAGCCTGAAGTAGGCCTGCTGAGTCTGTCTGACCCATTCCCCGCAGCCCACTAAATCAGGTCCGGTGCATGTGCAGGACCAACTAATACAATTAAGACTGAAAAAAAGCCTGTGCATATCCCAGAAGGCACAGCGGGATGTTTATTTTACTATTCTCAGGTCTGTCTGCAACCTCATCCTCATTGCATATACTTATTGTTTACTCATTCTTACTGCACAGTTTTTTCTTGTACTGCATTACTGTCCGGCATAGGAACTTCACTGTGTTCTCAGCATACATAACAATAAAACTAGGAACTCAGGGTCTTAACCAAAACAGGTGAACATGTTTAAGGACTGGGAGCGAAAAACAGGTTAATCTCTTTACTGCCTCGCACATCACAGCACAGGCTGTACTGCACTGCACATTACAGCACAGCACAAACTGGAGAGCACAAATTGCACTGGACTGCACAGAACAGACACCTGTGAACAGGTCAGGATAATGGGCCTCTCTGTCTGGCGTGTACAGCTCCGCCTTGTCCAGAGGCTTGCTGCGGTCGGACCCCCCAGCTGCCACAGGCTGGACCGGCACCTGGTGGGGGGGGGTTAAAAGGTCACGCAGAGGTCACCAAAACCTCCAACACTGGGCTGAACGGGGGAGGAGTCAGACCCACCTGGCTGGACTCGTAGAAGCCCAACTCCCGGCTGGTGCCCTCCAGCTCGGCCTGCTGCTGCTGCTGGAGCTGCCTGTGGAGGGGGAGGGGGAGGCAGTGAGCGCAGCCCGTGGGACGCCGACGGTCCGGCCCAGTGCCTCGCACAGAGCCACACCCACCACCATTACCACCATCACCAGCGGCAGCAGTGACATCCCAGCAGGGAAGGGGGGAGGGGGGGGCGGTGGAGGCACCCAACACAAGGACACCCAGGGGTTTAGATGGACAGAGAGACAGAGTGATGGGGTCCAATCAAGCCGAGGTTCCCAGTTCCCGGGACGTGGCAGGGTGGGGTGCGAGGTATCTATCCAATCTCACCTGGTGGTCACCTGCCCTGGGCTCAAAGCTGGGGGGCAGTTAGGGCTGTTCTGCCCCTGTGAGGGTGGCAGTGCCATGCCCGGGGAGGAGAGGGGAGAGAGCGAGTCCTGACTCGGAGCTCTACTGTGACGCAAAAGGGGCGAGGCGGGAGAGAGACTGGTCAGGGTGGTACAGCAGACACAGGGAGCATGATACAGCCACTGGGGGGCACACAGACACACCCACACAGACACAGAGACACACCCACACAGACACAGAGACACACCCACAGAGACACACCCACACAGACACA